ATGTTAGGTTTAGGTTCAGCTTTAGTCAACTGTAATAATTTATCAAATTTTGGGTCTCAATCTCTTGTAATGCCAATTTATTTATAATATTGTTTAGATATTCAATAAATATTTGTTTAAAAATCATATTTTTTCTTAATTCTTAATGTAAATAATAATTTTTTTTTAAAAAAGTGAACTTAAAATTGGTTCAAAAGGTTTTTCAGACTTAATCTCATCTTTAGCAAACTGTTCGAATCTCTCGAATTTGAGTCTCGAAATAGGGTAAAAAAATTGAGGTTGTTTTAATTTAGTGAACATTTAAATAAAAATTAATTAAAAATAACAAAAATCTTTGTAAGAGATTTCTATTTGATTTAAATATTATGAATTTATAATAAAAAAATCTAATTTTTTATATTTTTTCTGAGCTTCTTCGTTTTAATAATAATTTTTTGTTCAATTTTTGAATAGAAATTGTTAAATTGGTAATGGAGGTTTTCTAAATTCAGCTTCTGCTATTGCTGGATTTGCTAATCTCACTAATTTGTTTCTTGAAATAAGGTAAAAATAATTTATGATGATCAATCCTATTTTCAAATATTTATTTCTTTTCTAATAATATTTAAGTATTTATTTTTACTTATAAAGGGTTAGAGAATACAAATAAATTTTAAAAATCCTGCCATAAATGGATAGAAATAAAATTCTAAGATTTTTGATTCTCCCCAACACACATATTACTCCCTCCTCTCTCTTAACTTATTTTTTAATTTAAAAATTTTACTTTACTTTTTGATTATTTATTTATATCTTATTTTTTTAGTTATAAATATTCATTTCCTAAATTAATTATTTAAAAAGCAACAATTAAATTAATGCCCAAGGTGCATTAAGCTTAGGCACTGCTTTATCAAACTGCATCAATCTCTAAATCTTGAAAATTAATCTATAGTAAAAACATAATTTAATACAATATTCTTTATCTATTTAAAAGAAAATCAAAATAAAAATTATAAATACTAAATTACTTTATTTGGATTTTAATTTTTTAATGTTTGCTACTTTATTCTAAAATTTTTTTTTTTTAATATTTGTTTTAAAATTCTATTTTTGAAATTTAAAAAGTGAAAATTAAGTTGGTGCATAAGGTGCTTTAGATTTATGCTCTGCTTTAGCAAAATGCACTAATCTCTCAAATTTGGATATTTCTTTCTAGTAAAATTAATTATTTTTTCTATTTTAATATTTCTTGAACTAAAAAATTAATTATTATTTTCGAATATTAATCTCTTATTTACAATATTTTTCTTAATTATTTACTGAAAACTAACTAACAATAATTTATCAAAAGAAAGAATGGGATAGGTGCAGAAAGTGCATCAAGATTAGGTTCTGCTTTAGCAAATTGCTTAAATCTCTAAAATTTGGAACTTTACTTAGAGTAAAAATAGTTTTTTACATTTTACAATTACAATATTTGTTAAATTATTTGAAAATTGGAAAAAATTATTTTTAATATTTTTTTGAAAAATTTCATTTCATACTGTTGCTAAGTTCATTCATGATTTTTACAATTTCTTAAACTGAGAATATGCTATTAAATTATGCATTTCTAATACTTTAAATTTATTTTTTTAATTTGGCTATTAATATTTTTGTATACTTAAAAAGTGACAATATTGGTCCATAAGGGGCTTAAGGTTTAGGTCAAAGTTTGGCAAGCTGCGCTAATCTCTCAAATTTGACTATTTTTATTGAGTACAAAATTTTATTTGCTTTAACTGAGATATTTCTTTATTTAAAAATTATTTAAAATAATATAAATAAATATCTTTTTTACTTCCTATCTTTTAATTTTTTTCTTTATTTAATCCTTAAAAAATCTAGATTATTTTTTTAATAAATAAGTAAGGGCAATTAGATTGGCGCATAAGGTGTATCAGGTTTATTTTATGGTTTAGCAAATTGCATTAATCTCTCAAAGTTATCACTCTTTCTAAGGTAAAAAATATTTGTATTGCATTAAATATAATATATTGTTTTTTATAAATTAATTTGATAAAATTATCAAACATAACAAACATATCTTTGAAGAAAATTTATATTTTATTTATTTCTAGCTTAATTGAGTAATTTAGCAAGTTTTGTATATAATTTTAAATTTTAAATTCTTAATTTTATTTATTTCTTTATTTTTTTTACATCAAACTTATTAATAACATAATATTTTATACTGAAAGAGTATCTCATTAATAATATAATATTTTATACTAAAAAAGTGGAAATCAAATAAGTTCATAAGACAACTCTGATTTATTTTCTGCTTTAGGAAAAATTGCTAATCTCTCATATATGAATTTTAGAGTTTGGTAAAAAGAGTTAATTTTCTTTAAAATTAAACCATTTTTATAAATTTTATTGCTTTAATTTTTTTGACTCATTTTCACTTTGTTTCAAAATTAAAATGATGTTATTATTTTAAATTTTAAATATATTCCTCATTTTTATTGATAATTAATAATATTTTGTTTAAAAATGAAAAAGTAAGAATTCTATTGGAGATAAAGGTGTTTCAGATTTGGGTTCAGCTTTAGCGAATTGCACTCATCTCTCAAAATTAATTCTTGATCTCAGGTAAAAACAGTTTATTTTTTCATTCAAAATGGTTAATAATTTAATAAAAATAATTTATTTTCATTAAAATACCATAATACCTCATAATGAGTTTACTAAAAAAAAATCAGTGAGGTTTTTTTTGCATATTTTAATATAATTTAGTTTATTTTTTATTTTGAAAATTTTGCTTTCTATTTTTTTATCTTGCCTGTTGATTAATAAACTTTTTTGTATAATTTAAAAAGTGAAAACTAAATTGGTCCATATGGTGTATGCGATTTAGGTTCAGGATTAGCAAACTGCACTAATCTCTCAAACTTAAAGCTCTACCTTTCGTAAAAACATTTTAACTTTCAATTTATTTATTTATTTGTCTATTTGAATTATTTGGATTGATTTACTTTATTTTACAATTTAAGACATATTTAAATTAAAATATTTTTTTTTATTGATTTCTTATTTTTTTGCATTATTTTTCTTAATTTTTTAATTTCAACTTATAATTTCTTGTTAAATAACAATTAAGTAACAATTAAATTGGTAAAGAAGGTATACTAGGTTTAGGTTTTTCTTTATAAAAGCATGCTAATATCAAAAGCTTAGAACTGATTCTCATGTAAAAAAGTTCATTTTGACTGTGATATTTCTTATTATAAAAACTAATTTAACTAGTTGAATTCTCCATATCAAATTTTTATTTGATTTTTAAAATTTTATATTGCTATTCAGTTACGTTTTTGATTCTTTTCAAATTGACTGATAATGTTTTATCATATTTAAAAAGGAATATTCAAATTAATGATGAAGGGGCATTATCACTCGTTTCTCTATTATCTAATTTCCCTTTCCTCCTTATTTTATATATCAATCTCTA